TAGATAGATAGATAGATAGATAGATAGATAGATAGATAGATAGATAGCAAGAGATAATGGATACAGAGAGATGGATGAGATGATGAACGGAGAAGAAGAGATAGATGAGACAGATATGGTGGAGGGAGGGAGGGAAGGGGGAAGGGATGCTGGAGAGAACCTGGTAATGGACAAGTGGACGCAACCAAAGGGGGGAAGTGTTATTTATGTTGACATCACAAGGTCTAACTCATATGTTATGGTCATGTTCCTCCTTACAATCTTTTGGGAGTACTGTAATGTTATATAATATGTTGACAGATGAGAAAACTGGTTTTCAAAGATATGTGTATTCTACTGAATTATATAATGATACTTCGAATTTAATATGTTCAGAATAAAGATGGGTTTTTCATGCTCTAACAATAGCCAAATGAGTAATCCTTGAGAGGTGGAAAAATCTCTTTAATTCCAGAGATAAAGGGTTGTATTTCAGGGATGTGTGATTAAGCTGTTTTGGAGAAAATTATATATTTGGTTAATCAGAAAATGTCATATTACCTTTCCCATTGAGAAAACTTTTTGAGTAGCTTGGTTCACTGTTAAAAGCTTAATTTTTTTTCTTGCAAAACACAAAATCAGGTAAACTTGGGATATAGTTGTAATTACAAGGTATTTTTTTATTTGTGTGTTCCCTTTCATGTATTTTCTTCATTAACATTTCTTTTTTGTTTGTGTGTAGGGTGACTTGTTTATTATCTTCATGTCTGTTTGAAAATGAAACAATAATAGCATTTAGAACAATAAAAATATTGGAAGGAAATCAGACCACACAGATGGACTGGGAACAGAATTACTGCCTTCACACAACCTGGGGGAATCGGTGGCTTGGAAATAGGACTTCTGAGGTGGACCTAAGTGTGGTCATTGTTCCCAAGCAAACAAGAGCCAGTAGTGTGCAACAAACGTTAGAACATTTCCAGCTGAATTAGAGGAAACATTGTCTCTGAGATGAGTGAAATCATTATTCTTCTCTGCCCTGCACTGTAGTGACCACATCTGGAGGCCTCATGTAATTCTGGGTAGCACATGTCCACAAAAACATTGAAAGTTTGGAGCGTGTTCAAGAAGGGCAACAAAGATACAGGGACTTGAGGACTTGTGGGGTCCTTGGTGCTCTCTGAGCTTGGTGGTTTTCTTGCTGATGTTTCGTTATCAAACTAGATAACATCATCACTTGATAACATCTGATCAACTGATGTTGTTGCCTCGTTTGGTAACGAAACATCTGCATCAAAACCAACATGCTCCAAGAATGCCAATAACTTTATGTAAACTATATAAACTTTATATAAACCCTGAGCTACAAATATTCTCTTATATTGGTATTTGAGGAGCTGCCTTGTGAGACCAAACCGGAGAAGAAAGGGAGCATTCAGGAACATAGTAACATGTCACAGGAATGTTGCCAAGTATTTTCCACGACCACACAAACTTCAGACCAGAAACAGACCAGACCAGACCAGAAACACCAGGTAGAAGTTGCAGCTACCTGGATTCAGTTTAAACCCAAAGAAAAATCTTCAGATGGTGGCATCTGAACAACTGTGGAACAGTCCACCTGTGGAGATTGTGAGTGTATCTCTGGAGGCTTTCAAGAAATGGCCACACAGCCATTTCTAGGATGCTTTTCTGCACGTTGCAAAGGCTTAGTAGATTATCCTTGGTATCTCCTTCAGTTTGTAACACTTTGGCCTTGAGTAGATTAATCTGTATTCTTCCTTTGTAGCTAACCAAGTGTAGGGATTCGAGACTGATGATGCAATTGACTCCTCCCTTGGGCTCAGCCTAGTCACCTCCTGCAAGGACATGGATTCAATTACATGTTTTGTGGAAGTGTGTCTTCTCAGACAGAAAACACCCCCAACATTTTTTTGATATGTTCTTTTAGGCCTCTAAGGAAGGTGTCTACATGGTAGGGTTTACCCAGTACCGTTAACCAAGTTATACATAACTTGTGAACTTGGTTAAAGGTGCTGGGTAAACTATAAACATGGCTAAAAGTCTATGGAGATTCTCAGTCATCCAGGACATGGTTGTCCCAAAGGTGCTTTTTTTAAAGAGGCAACTGGACTTTCTGGTTTTTTTTTTTTTTGAAAACGTTTCACTTCTCATCCAAAAAACTTCTTCAGCTCTGAGTGGATGGTGGGGAATGGAAGGATTTATATTCCTTGCAGACAGCTGGTCATTTGCTTTCTTTTGGAGAATTGTTGAGGCCACTTGGAGGTTTATCTCTGTCCTCAGGATCATCTGAGTAGTGCAAATGGGTATGGAGCCTTCTTGACTGCAGAATGTTTTCTGTCCTGTGTCCCTTCACTGTTGAAGCAGAGGTGGTAATCAGCAGGTTCTGACCAGTTCTGGAGAACCGGTAGCGGAAATTTTGAGTAGTTCGGAGAACCGGCAAATCCCACCTCTGACTGGTCCCGCCCCCATCTCTTCTCTGCCTCCCATTGAGTCCCAGCTGATTGGCTGGGTCTTCTTTGGTTGCCCTGCACAGGAGAACGGAGCTGGAAAGCAGGTTAGTGAGGTGGAGGCAGTATCCTTCCCCTGCCACGCCCACCAAGCCACCTCCATAGAATCGGTAGTGAAAAAAAATTGAATCCCACCATTGTGTTGAAGACAGGTGCAGGCTGCTGGGTTGAGCCTGTGTTGTCTGCATCTCAAACTGAAGTGCAAATGTAAACATGGGCTGATTTGGTTTCCAAAATCCTACAAATTAAATGCTTAGCTTCATGCCCACAAGATTGAGTGTCATTGTGAAGTCAAGTTGGACTCTGAGCTCAGAGAGACTTGGCATCAAGACACACTAGTTGTTGGTTTATTAAATCTCCCTTTTCTACAAATCCCAGCAACTACCCTCTTTCCCCCTTGCATTGGACAAACTGAACTTTCACTGGTGGAAAGGATTAGAGGCAGCCCTCGTCTTACGACTTACAATTAAGTCCAAATTTCCCATTGATAAGCAAGACGGTTGCCTAAGTGAATGTGGCTTCCCCGTTGACTTTGCTTGTCAGAAGGGCCAGAAAAGGGGATCATATAACCCCAGGATTCTGGAACTGTCATAAAGACATGTCAGTGGCCAAGCATCTGAATTTTGATGACATGACCAAGGTGGGCTGCTGGGGGTTTGCGGGGGTTCAGGAGAGCCCCTAGCTAAGATTCTGTGCAGTTTGGAGAACCCCCAAATCCCACTCCTGGCTGGCCTGCCTACCCCTCCCCTCCCAGGAGTCCCCCACGTGGCCCGTTTTGGATGCAGGTAAGTACAGGGCGTGCATGGAGGCTTGGGGAGGCTTGGGGGGGGTGAAAAATGGGCCACCTGGACAGAGGTGCTATTCAGCAGGTTCTGACCAGTTCTGGAGAACCAGTAGCGGAAATTTTGAGTAGTTAGGAGTACCGGCAAATCCCACCTCTGACTCGCACTGCCCCCATCTATTCTCTGCTTCCTGAGTCCTAGCTGATTGGCTGGGTCTTCCTCTACAGGAGAACGGAGGTGGAAAGCAGGTTAGTGGTGGGGAGGGAATGGAGATTTTACAGTATCCTTCCCCTGCCCTGCCTACTAAGCCATGCCCACAAAACCGGTAGTAAATTTTTTTTTAAATCCCACCACTGCTCCAGGAAGTTCAGGAAGGCTGGAAATGGGCCCGTTTCCGGCTTCCAGAGAGCTTCCGGAGCCCGGGGAGGCCATTTTCGCCCACCTGGAGGCTTGACGAAAGCCTGCAGAATCTGGGCAGGACAAAAATGCCGCCCCCACCTGGCCATAATGCAGGAGGCCGACTAGGCCATGCCTACCACGGCCACACCCACCCAACAACCAGGCAGAGAACCATTGCTAAAAATTTTGAAGCCCAGCCCTGGACATGACCATGGGGAAGCTGCAACGTAGCTGTAAAACTGGTCATGAGTTGTTTTTTTCAGTGCCATTGGAACTTTGAAGCATCACTAAACAAATGATTGTACGTTGAGGACTACCTGCTTGACCTTTTAGGTCCAAGCTATATTTTTACAAGTCCACCCATTGCAAAGAAAGGTAGTCACTGGATCTGTGAGGAGGCAGCTCTGATCCAACACCAACCATCCATTTGAAATACCAAGTTAGTTACTTTGCTTTATTTTATTTGTTTGTCAAACATGCACAAGATAATAAGTATGAGTATGAACACAAACAAGAACAAAAGAAGTAAATACAGATAAATGGGGACAATAAGACAGGGACGGTAGGCATGCTGGTGCACTTATGCATGCCTCCTTTAAGGACCTCTTAGGAATTGGGTGAGGTCCAGGGTAGACAGTTTGAGGTTGAAGCTGCGAGGGGTTGAGGCTGTAACCACAGAGTCGGGTAGGGCATTCCAGGCGTTGACCACTCTGTGGCTG